ATTAAACTAATTTCCCCAAGTCAAGTCTGTTCTGCCCGTGATGGTAAGCCATCTGGTGAGCCATCTCTCTCCGTCCTTATCTCGACCCACAAGCTTTTCATTCTACTCTTCCCTCCCCTGTCCAGCTGAGGAGGGGAGCGACACAGCGGCTTTGGTGGGTACCTGGCATCCAGCCAGGGTCAACCCACCATGCTTTTAAATACAGGATTTTGAAGACTGGTGGGTTTTTTTGGTTTTTTTGTGTGTTTTGTTTTTTTTTAATGTACTGGTTTTGTCATTTATTTTCAAGACTTCTTTGAAATACACTGTCACTTACTCTTCTTTCACTTACTACCCTTTCTCCTCTTTCGACCCATCTTTCCTCATCTCCTTCTCTAATACCTCATCTCTGCTACCTTCTTGCTCTTTTAAGCCTCGGAACCTGATCTTACTCCTGACGTGTATCTTCTTCCATTGCAACAGAAAGCATTGGCTCAGCCTCAAGAATGTGGGATTCTAGGAACTCCTCTGAATATTTGCACATACCATTTTTTTTAACTAATATATAATGTGTAAGCTACATAAAAAACAAAGCCATTCTAAGAACTTAATTCTTTCTCCCAGCACATTTCAAATAGAAATATAACAGCCTCAAAAAAAAAAAAAAAAATCACAGACAACCCTATTCAGTAGAGTGTTATTCTAGCACAGATACACTGTAGTATCACTATAGGAAAAACACCTTCTGATCTGAATTAATAATTTTAATGACAATAATACTTAGCATCTGAAGGAAAAAGAACCAGTGCATATTCATGGTCTGTGATATTATGGTAAAACAGATGCACATAGACCTGATGAAAGTTGTTATGCATTGGAATTTCACAATTTCAAATTGATGCAACAGGCAATTTTTTATTTTGCAAGGAATGACAACAGCAGTAGAAACACAGGGATCTGCATTGAAAGTTTTTTAACATTTTCAGGCTATTTTAAAGCATTTACACATGCAGAGACAGACTACGCTTTCTGGATGATTTAAGCCTTTAATTTGCCCTGCTCAGCAATAGCTACTGAGCGACCTCTTGTGTTGAAACGTCTGAGCAGTTTCTTACTTGTTTTCTTTTTTCTAAATATATTAAATCAACATAAGGCCAGCAATGCAAAATGAAGACCCCAAAAAGTCAGCACCATCAATGTCATTACAATGCCTGCAGATGGCATTTGTACTGATTCATTTTACCTACTCGTATTGTGTACTGAAGAATTTACCTCTGAAGCTAATAGGATAGGTAGTCAAAACCAACGTGCAATGGCTACTATCATGCAACCCTCTGCACCACTTTTGTGGTCAGCACTGTGAAAAAGACATGTGATCAACTTTTTGCACATTATTGCCACTGTATTAAAATAAGCAGAGGAAAGAAAAGAAAACCATGATCTATTAGTCTAATGAAAGGGGATGAAATCAAAATATGATATAAAACTCATTTGCAACTTGTCAGAGAGGGCAAAACCAAACCACCAATAAAAGACAAAATTACTTTTATTAACCAGCATTTAAGACCAATACTGTCAACCACTGCTAGATATGTCAAGGAGCTTAACACAATCTAAGAAGTGCACAGCCCTGAGATCTCCGATTTCAAACTTTCTGTAGTCCCAATGAAGTAAGACTGAAAGTAGATACACTTTCTCAGCTTTGGAGTACTAATTCTGTACCTGCAAGACTAGCTTTTGTTTTTCACAGTATCTACACTTTGATATTTAGAAATACATACATAAATATAATCGCAGCATGCTATCCAACTCCAGAAAAGGTTGGGCAATCTGTTTTCATTTCAGGAAAGCAGTGACATTCATCATTCCGACTGAAAAGGAACCGAAGTGTGACTGTTCGGTTGATAGAGTAACTGATCGAAATTGCTTAATGAACAAGCCAAAGAGCAAGATCAACAAACAAAAGTATTGTAGAACAGAAAAAGAATTGGTGAGAGATCTGGCCACGAGATGTCACTCTCTACTTTGTGGCAACTTGGAAATTCATTAGTGTAACTTTCCTCTCAGAGGTTTCAAAAGCAGGAGTACAGCCAGTAAAATTAGCTATGTTAAATTGAGGTCAGGTAAAGGAGAACTGCTTAACGTGTCATTTCTGTAGCTGTGTGTTTAACTTCTGTACCTGTGTTGTAAAATTACTGTTCTGTATGCTGTGAAGCCAAAGCAGCCTCCAAGCAGCCTCTGAATATGTTCCCCCAAGTCTAAACAAAGAACAACTAGTTCAACTAAAGCTTACTGTTATAACATACGTTACTCTTACTTACACCAATGTAGCAAATTGCTTTGAATTTTGTGGCCTATTAGAAGGAAACCATCGTTATGTGTTGAGCTCTTATGACTCTGCATACAGCAAGCTACCTGTATGTGCTACAGTATCTATACAGATAGATAGCTTAACCCAGTAAGTTTTGAGAGTTTCTTCAGCTAGCTTGAGTTAAAACTTGATCAGGCCCTGTGGCCTAGTAAGGTTTCACTTCTTTGTTCTGCAGAACACCACTAACATCTTTAATAACCACTAGCATGCACAATCATTCTTATACCGCTAGCATGTAAAATAATTTTTGTACTTCATATATCTAACCAGGCACCTGTTGGAGCAGACCAAAAAGATCGGAGCTGGAGTTTTAGGATTAAAATCTGTAACCACCATAAATACACACTTATAAAGGAAAGAAAGAAGTGGAAGCTCAAAACAAACCTATGATGAAAGAAAATTCCTAGGAATGAAAGATTTTATGTAAGTATTAGATGAAATGCATAAATTAATCAGAAACTATCCTGAGATAGCTGATAGAGAAAAACTCATTACCTTATTATGTGTTAAGGTTATCCTCAGGTCTGGTTTTATGATACCATATGCTGTCAGTAGATCTTGGACTTTTTTCAGTTCTTCCTTACATTTTCTATTTGTTGAGTAAAACTGCTTTCTCACAGGAAGATTCTTGAACAAGTTGAGGACTGTTACTGTAGTACCTGCAAGCACGTGACAAAAAACAAGTAGAAATTACACCAAAAACATACCACTGACGAGATATTGAGGAAACTTCATTTATACTTGAAGAGACCTGTCTGTATGCTCCTGCATATAAACCCCAGTAACACTAAATTAGAGTATATTAGCATGAGAAGAAATATACCAAATTAGCAGTCATCCTCCCCCAAAAAAGTATGTATAGATCTGAAGAGCTGCGATTCCCGTCCTTTATTCAGAGTTGACTGCAGCATTAAACTTTCTTTCATACACAACTGACAATAGCAAGAATCAGCACTAAAGCTGAAGACTCTTTCATTGCATATTAAGTTAACTTTCATTAGTAAAATGGTTAACAGACTAGAATCTATTCAGACATATCTGGAGGCAATGGAACACTGAGGTCCATTAAGGCCCTTTACAAGCATTTGCTTTAGGGTAGTACCTGAAGAGCCAGATATCTCTGTTCAAGGCATAGTACATACTAAGAGGAGGAATATTCATCTACCAACACAATCACATAAATTCCTAGCCCATAAGTGTATTGCAAAGTATTAAATATATGTAACAGAATTCAGTCAATCACACAACAATTTTGACAAAAGATAAAGCAATGCAACCCACAGGTTTTCTGGCTGTGGAAAATACTACAGCCTAGATCTTAAAAAGACTCCCTGGTTAAATTTAGTTAAAATTAGAGTTCTCAGCTTCAGGTCTTTCTTAAGTATTTGCCCGTTGACTAGCCCTCGGCAGCTTCTGCTGGCTTAATGGCTCCCTGCGACCAGTTCGTGCTGGGGAGGAAGGATGCCGGGTTGCGAGTCAGCTCGCCGTTGTCGTATAAGCACTGCAGCCGGCTGCAGGGCAGCTTGTGGGCACAATATTGACAAGCAGTCGCTGTGGCTCAGCTGGGAAAAGCTCACACTCCCTTGTCACAAGAAAGGAGGACACGTCTTCCGGGAATACACCAGCTGGAGTGTAACACAAGGACACGGTGTGGTCTTAACGGTCCTCACTGAGCAACAATCTGCTGAGCGGAGCACGAAGTAGAGCAGATGCTACCTCAAACCTACAACACGTCTGAACAATCAAGGCTGCCTCTGAGGTGAGGGCAACCTTTAATCTTTCACACAAACATGCAGACAGATTTCTAGTGACACACCCTTCCTGCAGGTTAGAAAGAACTGTGACTTTGCCTGGTCCTACAGCTGCACTGCTTCCAGCAACTCCCTTGTATAGCAGCAGGGCAACTCTTCCTACTTTAAGCAAGGATTTTGCTATGTACAGAAACATTATTTTGGTCCTGAACAAATCTTTCATATACTTATAAAAGATATATACTTCCAGTCTGCCTGGACCTGGGGCATTGAATTTTTATAGATTTATTTCCACTGTCAGCTTGAAGGAGTGAGTCAGAGAAGGAGAAACTAGTTTATAATTACAATCTAAAGCAACTTCCAAGACATATTATTTCTTACAATCATAACACATTCTCAGTTGACAGACATAAGGCAAGAAATGTTTACAGCTGCAAAGATTTCATACTCAACCTTCAAGTACAGAACAGGTATTTCAACATCAAATAGAGCCTCAGAGAAACAAAATACTTCTGTTACAGTGCAACACCAGAAAAAAAAGATATCTTACCTTGCCCAAGATGGGAAGGCTTTTCAGAAGTTATATGCCCATTGCTATCCAAAGCATACTGAATGCTGAAATCATCATCAGCTGTCTTTGTTGTGATCAAAACCTGAAAGGAGTGATTAAAAAAAAAAAAATTTTAATCGAGGATTCACAAAGTTCAGAATGAGCTTAGATAAGCTTTGCTACCACTCTTACCATTGTGGTATTTTAGTCACCATAATTACATTTAATTTATAAATTTTTTCTTCTACAGGTGTTTCTCACCATCACAGAAACATTCTGCATTATTACTCATTTTTCCATCCATTTAACTAAAAGGCAAGCATTTCTATCGCACTAATACGTGAAGCACAGCAATCCCTACTACCTACAACACACGCTCCTGTATGTTCTAAACACAGGTTAAACAAACAACTAAATCAATTGATAATTTCGCATTTTCATCCAAAGGCATACTATGACAACTTCTTAAATTCATGTGAGATTCCACAAACATAACAACTACTATCAAACAAACCGTATATTATCTTTCCACACCCAAATATATCTAGCAATCAGTAGTAGCATGTTTTGTAAGCTATTAAGGTAATACACAGATTGGCTTTAGCAAGACCTGTCACACACCAGAAGTTCAATAAAACTACAATTCCCTGAATTCAGGCATCCATACTTTGAACAGTAGAGCCACTGCACTTTAACCAACTGAAAGGCATAAAAGTTGTCACACATATAGAGTTTCAGGATATTTTGGTTTATTTTAGTGTCTCATATGAATCACTCAGAATTCAGCCATGCCTCTGGAGAGAAAAAACAATAATTGATTAATTGGAAATGACAACGTTACAGACCTACTTAGGGGCCAATAATAAAGCACCTCTTAACTGAAACTTCAGGGGGCAGTTCAGGTAGCCAGAATGCAATTAATGCCAGGAGTTTAATCAACATAATTATGATCTGAGGATTAAAGTAATACCTATTAAAGTACTTAATACACTCAGGTCACCTCCCATCTCTTAGGAAACATAGCACAGAGCTGATTAAATGCTCAAAACAGATGGCACCCTGCTCTGACAACTCATTAGAAGGAACCAAGGATTGAGGTCTGTCATCATCTGTCAAAACACCAACTCTTTTGAAAGCATCTTTGGAAATCTCCATCCAAACACACAACCCGCTCTTGCTTAGTGCAAGGTGAATGTAGCCCAAGGTAGCAAGGAGTCAAGCTCTAACATGTCTCCTGACCTTGACAGTTGATAGTTCCAATCAGACACAGATATCAGTATCTTCTTGCAGGATCTAATCCTTTGCAGACTTAGAAAGAAGAATCCAAAATTTGACCTTGGCACAGCACAAATACAAAAAGGCAAAACATAATGGAAGAGGTAGATGCTGTGCCCTTAATAGCCTGAACACTCTTCAGATGGCTTTGAATCAACTTACTTATTTTCAGTCAACAAGTTAAATCCTACGTATCAGTACACTGTCAGTCCTCAGCACAAACATATGGATCAGCCTCAGACAGGCCAGGAAGCCAGGTTCCTGTTTACTCATACGGACAACAAAGTTTCTGCAACTGCAGTCATACACAAGTCAAGGAGCAATATGGAGCCCAGCAAGGTCCCGTGACTGCTGATCACCTAGATAACATCAAAGCAGAAAATCCTTACTGGAATGGTAGCTATGTGGGCCATCAGTTCCCTGAAGTGATTTCTCCTGGCCACCATCTGCTGTTCCTTATTTCGATTTACCCTAATTCAAGTAGCAAACTCAGCCATACTCTTTGACATTATATTTCCTGACAAGACTAAAGAGGATAACCCAGTGTTCTGAGGAATCATGTATCTATACCTTGATAGAAGAGAAAACACTAAGCAGTCTGTCTCTGACCTATTCTGACTAAGGAAGATAAATAGAGCACTGCTGTAACCAGTGTGACAGAAAGGCAGGACTGACGCTAACAAGAAATCTGTACTGCTTCCTAACCATATGACATGACTTCTGGGGAGGAGGGGAAAGGCAGTATACACAAGTATAAATTCTTTTGAAAACATATCTCTGGCAGGCTGCTAGAACAATTTAAAGTTTTGCACTGATATTTTAAAAAAGCTTCACAAACACACATACAAAAAAATCACAATACAAAGACTAGACATGTTTATAGCAACTGCTCACCTCTGATATGCAGCAAATTGATCCCAAAGCTTCCCCACGGAAACCGTATGTTGTCAACCTTTCAAGGTCCTCAGAAGAGCTTATTTTTGAGGTGTAGTGTTTAATTGCCATAACTGGAACATCAGCAACCTTGATTCCATTGCCATTGTCTCTCACTTCTATTTTGTTAAACCCATAATTCTCCTGAAAAAGAACAAAACGTAAAGGAGCACTAAAACAGACAAATGAATTAAGACACAAGTTTGAAGCAGCTAAGGTTACAGCTTCTAGCCATACAGAGAGAAGTGGGAGTTTTGCTTTTTTGGAGAAACTGAGTAACGATGAATGTCTCTCTGAAAAAAGAAATAAAAAAGAAAAATACAACATGTTAGGATAGTAGTGATGATTTCTCTAAATAATGTACTTCATACCCTGTGGTTTGGAAATAGCACATAAATATAAATACAGTGAATTGAAACAGGAATTAAGTGTAGGGTTTTTTTTAAACTAGGATAAAATTTGAAAAACCTAAGCTCAGAAAAAGACCTATAGCTGGAAAGCTAAAGGCTTTTCACCTCTCTTCTCTGCTTGATATCAGTTTTTTCAAATCATCACAAATGCAGCCCTGCATCCACTAAGGTCAATGGGCCCTCACCAAGAACTGTTTTCAATTTCAGGCTATTTCTGTGATTTCACTACTGCAGAGGTTTTCCAGTCTCTATACTGTCTCTCAATGTACAGAAGCTGCAATTCCAATGGGGAAAAGACAGAAATAAGAAAGCTTGTAAAGAGGTACAATACTTTACAAAAAGAATTAAAGAGACTCTTAAAAACAGTTTTCAAGGAAGCGAATTTCAGTCTTTGTGATTTACCTTTACGTATTATGCAATACATATTTACTGTATTTGTATTTATATAATGTAATTTAAATTGTGTCATTTCAATAAACACAAGCATAAATAGGGTGAAAAACTCTGAAAACCCAGATAATTAGGATAGCTAAATGAAATACGGAATTCAGGTTCTATAAAATTTCAAATAGGTGCAGCAAACAAATGCTTCCTTCCAGCTACATTATAATCTGCCCATGTAAATCACACCCAAAAAGAATCACAAGCCAGGAGGAGAAAGTAATTAGAGCTGCAGGATCACTAACTAAACTTCTTTTACAGACGCATGCCTGGCTCTTTTTGAAAAGGTTATGATGTAGCATACAGAAAAACGTGCTGTAGTGTGTAATACATCTAGGTGACCTTAAAAGTGGTTTTGCTTAAAGTATCTTGAATGAGTGGCTGCTACTGATGCTGTACAGAGCATGGGATGGTCCTTCACAGAAAGCTGATTGATTAGACAGAACTAACTTCATTGTCTCATCTGGGCATACAATGAAGACAGTTATGAAAAAATATAATGGACTCCCAGGGTTATTTCTTGAAGTAAAAAAAAAAAAAGCAATTAAAAACAAAAGGAAGGTATCTAAAGATATTATCTCTAGTCACACATAATCTGCATGAGGAAACATGAAAAGCCTCTGAGGTAGCCACAGAACTACATGTATTTAGCTAACTGATATGCAATAGAAATGTGGGTACATTTCACTTTCCATATTAATGAATGGTGCTAAAGCTATCTTCAGGGGAAAAACAATGATTCTGCTAATATTTGAGTCAATCTCCTACTGGGAAGCAAGACAGAACCTAAGCAATACACTCCAACTGAACATAAAAACACATAAGGAGATAGAAACAGGAAACCTTCTATGCTGCTGCTGTATGCACTAATGAAGGGTTTGAGCATTTTACAATGAACCTCTATTTTCCATTCTAATTTTTATTTCCAGACCACTTAACTGCTTAGGAAAAATGAGATTTGTCTTCTTCAACTTCAATCAAAACGCTACATGAATGATTCTCTATTTCTTTTCTAATATTATTCATTTTTACTTGCACATATTTTGCTTAAAATATTACAGTGCTTAAACTTTGTATTCTGTAACACCTTCCACCATGCTACATGACCTAAATACTACTGTGGTCACAATCCCATGAGACATTTAAGTTGCTCTACCAGATCAGTGATGCCAAACTGCATGGTTCAACTCCCTCCTCTTTTACTCACAACTGCACAGTCCCATCTTCGTTTCAGCTACAGCTCTGCTACTCATGAGAACTCTAAGGTCAATTCAGCTTATTAAACTGACACAAATAATCCACTTTTCTTGCTGGGCAACTTTTCTTTTGAATTAGCAAGATGAATGGATCATTAGAGGCAGAAATGTCTAGCAATGCCATGCAGATGCATGTAGGACTTCTCAGGACTTCACTTCTCAGGTGATGAGATGGATCAGGTGTACAATGGAACCTCACCCAGCTAAGCTTCCGCTGAGAAGGTTCTAAGGATTAAAGTGCCCACTTCATGCATTGGAAAAAAGGTGCAGAAACGAGTGCCTGCCTTTTACAACAGCTATTTCATATACTAGTAGCAAACCCGTAACCAAGATTTGTCCTTCCCAAAGCCCTACTCTGCTCCAACTACTAGCAAAGGCTGTTGCTCATCTTCTCTATTAATTAAAATATGCAGGTCTCAGTCAGCTGATGAAGATTATTCTCATAAATTCCTGTTGTTAGAAGTCAGTAAAGAAACTGATAGCCCATGGATTCTCTTTATCCATACACAAGCAATTGTATTGCTGCATCAACATTTTTTAGCATACTTTAACCTGAAGCCAGGACGTCACGTCAAGGATAAAACCATCACTCTACATATGCTTAATGCACAGCCATGCTACTGAGGCCGTTGACCCCGCTGCTAACAACAAGGCAAGCTCCAGCATGTTCATCTTTCCAATAGCAACAAAGCTAAAGTTCAAATTAATAAATACATACCACCCAACACCTTACAGAAAGGCCACAGTTCAGTTTCTAATCAAATTACTGGTTTCATACTATAATGAAAGCAACATCACATTATCTAAAACTACAGTACAAGCTGATGTTTTTCCCAGTGTTGCATAAAAGCTTGCTGAGACACAGTGCAAAGGCACTCAGTAACATCACCTATGGGAGCTTGGTCAACCAAGAAGTTAACAAGAATAAAACACTAGCTAAAGCTTCCCGCTACAGCTGGCCACTGCCATGGTTTCTACCTGAGAACCATTCCACCCCCAGGTTAACTCCTGCCTGTCTCCAAAAAAAGCCACTCCTGTCTGTGTTCAGCCAAATTGGGTAACAAGTCTGAGTGAATCAGCTAGCCTTCCTAATCCATCTGGAAAAGGTTAAAACAATAAAAATGCTGCAAGTTTCAGGCAAAACCCATCAAGCTATAAAATTAAATGTCAAAGTTTCTGTTCTTTATTATGCTTTTAAACCAGTCAGAGTTAATGTGGTCAACCTTATTTAAAATAATAAAAATAGTATTTTGCTCTAAAAATATTCTTATCACAAAAAAAAAAAAATCCCAGAAAAAGAATCCACCATTTTACAGTATTACTATGTAGAGCTGTGCAAAGTGCAAGTTTTCTCTTCTTCCCTAGTACCCACAGAATAACAATCAGCACTGACAACTTGTGTAAAGCCAGGTTGGCTGTTGGTTTGTTTTAAAAACACAGCAATTTGGATCGGGCTGAAGTGACAAAGAATGTAACAGTAGTGCAGATGACTCATGCACTGGAAATGACTGAAAACGCTCTTTTTAATTGATTTGGGACCTCTCACTATGGAAACAGATCATTATTGCACTGTGAAACCCACGCTGATTAGAGGGTTTCCTCCTCTGGCTACCTGCATGGCTTTATATCAGCACTCTAGTAAAAGAGACAAGGTTTGTTCTAACAATTTTTGAAGGCTCCAAAACCATCTGTTGACTTCTTGCAGTTATTGATCAGCTCACAGGATCTCATTCTGATACCCCTACCTGCAGTAGTGCATACACTACTCACTTTGGAGGTACTCATGAAGCAAGATACTATGCAGTCTAAATATTGACAAGATAGAGGTCATCACAGACCATAGTGAAGGCACAGTATCTTCAGCTCACTTTAGGCAAATAACAAACAAGCATGTCCCTTGGCATCTGCAGGAAGCCATACTCAGATGGAAAACACTTGAGACTCATTCAGAAAAGATAGCAGTGACATAGACAAAGAAACAAGCAGAAATATAATTGCCCCCCTCATTAGAAGCATTTGTCTAACACAATTCAAGAATAGCTTATACATTCACTGTTATTTAGAGGGAAGGAAATGGGATGCAATTCTGGATACATCCATTTTTACAGACTGTAACAACATGTTTTCCTACTAAGCAGGAGATATGACTATTATGCAGCTCTCTACAAAATACTGCAAAACCAGAAATAGCCGTAGCAGCAAAAACAGATGATCAGTTAGCCATTTTACCCAATTTGGGAAAAAAAGCACAAGTTGCTTATTATAAGCAGTATTTTCTTTTTTCAGAAACTATCCTTGAGTGATATGCCAACTTTTTTTTAACACCTTATAAAAATAAAATGTTAGAAATAGTTAACAGTAATTAGGGACGCTGTGGTAATTTACATGAGAAAAACACCTAGCATGGCCATCAACATCTTCCATTTTCACCTTCCTGACAATATTTTGTAATAAGCATTAAATGTGCCAGTCTAGCAGTGAAACTGAAATCCAACATCTTGGACTTCAGTAGCAAAAGAAGTATTAAAGAAGTTGACAGTTTTTTCCCCAAGACACACTCAGGAGCACAAATATGCCTTACTGTTTCACTAGGGCCTCAAAAATCTTTGTGGAAACTGTTTTTTGACCATTTTTATTTGAGATTAAAAATATATGTGTATAAACACTATTAATATCCTTCCATTCCCCAAACCACAACCGCCTAAAATGCACATTTGCAGTGGAACAACTTTCCTTGCATCTTATTTTACATCCAATTCTTTGTAAGAGAAAGAAAGAGGACTTACCAGTTTAATATCAATATTTGTGGCACTGGCATCCAAGGAGTTTTCTATCAGCTCCTTCACCACACTCACAACTGATGTAATGACCTGAGAACTTGAAAGGAGACGAATAGTTTCTGCCGTCAGCTGTTTCATAGTGGAATTAAGAGTCAGAGAAGCTGCACAGAAAGATAACAGGAAAAAAATGTAAAAGGCACATTACACATACATATTGCTAAGTAATTGTTTTATAGCAACTTTTAAATGCAGGCAAGACATAACATTATGGCTACTAAAGAGTATAATTTTCAAGATAGAGCAAGACTGAATCACAACCTGGCCTTTCTGATCAGACTGCATGCCCTCAGGCAGAGCACTTTATTTCTGTGTCTCTGTATCTTCCACTTGAAAATGGAGATGTCTCATATTACAATAAGCAAATGGAGAATTTTTTTTAATCACTGAAAACACTTACAAAGGGTTATAAAATCCCTACTGCATTACAGAGACACTCTACCATGAAGAGATTGTAAGTGGATCTGCGAATTTTTGTATGCGTTGCTGTTTAAGTACCCAAGCTCCAGGAAAAGTCTTTGCTGGTCCTTGTAACATGACACAAAGAACTCAACCACATTTTTTCATGCATATAAGAATGGGACGGGGAGGAAAAAGACCATTGCTAGACAACTCTGCACCTCAGGAAGGGTTCAGACTTGGTTTGCTCTCTGTCCTACAAGGAACTTCTCTTCTACTATGCAGCATCGCTCTTTACTGGGTTATGTTACGTAATGCTATTTACATTGAAAGGCAGAACAATCCCAGCAGTCCTGGCTTCCCGATCGGTTCAGTCCAAGCTATCTGCTGGAGAACCCAGACCATCCCAAGGGTATGAGCACGTGTGGAGGAATGGAGCAAACCCAGATTTCCTCCTGACAGAGTCAGAACACAGCAAGAGACTGCGAACAACACCCCAGAGCACCACTGTCCTGCAGGGTATACACAGCTAATCTAACAACTACTGGACACTTCTCTGCCTTGGGATCTTTCTAAAGACTGCCACTCTTGAAATACAAAATACAAAGCAAAAACGTGGTTACTTGGGGGGAAAAAAAAAAAGATGCAGTGTTTTGAAGAGGAAGCAGCGTTAAAACTTTTTAAGAACAGCTACAAAGGGGTTTTCTCTTTATACTTATTATTTACCTCCCAAAGGGAGTTTGCCTTTCAGATGTGGCAAAAATATCTGACGAATCAAGTTTTCCACCAAACAAACTGGAAAAGGAACATGGGAAGATGTATGTTGTTGAAGACAGACCAGTATTAATCATGTACACACATTCAGGAAGGCAGGCTTCCTCATGCATCCACGTGCTATAACAGGGCTCCCGTGTCAAGTGCTTTGTGATTTACTAATGATAAGTGCCAGATCGGAGCTGGAAATCTTTACCACAAGACACCGACTGAGACAAGGGAGAGCCTTAAAACACAAACGTTGCAGATCCCAAAGACAAATTTTCTATGAGGCGTGACTGACGCAGGTGTTTTGGGAGAGAAGCCAGCTCCCTGGGCCCAAACCACCGCGTGGATGGCTGCCGGCCGCTCGCCGTATGGCTGAAGGAGGACTCGTGCGGTCGTACAGCCATGCTGGCCACGTCTCACAGCACCTGCTGGGAGGGGGCAATGGCCAGTACTTGCTTCCCATGGAAATGTGTCCAGCCCCTGATTACTTTTAGCTAAAAGATACACATTTCCGCTCAAGCCACACTACTACTATAATTCTTTGCTGACTCGACATACCATATGCCCTGCTCAGTGGGCAGGTGCAGTATTTCTGTGTTTGAGCACCATCACCCCACGTAGCCCTTCAGCCCCTCTAAAGGAAGTCGGACACCGCAGCACCGGGGGCTCACTCAACAGCTGTAACACCGCACGCCATCTGGTAAACTGCGAACAACACCTCCTTCAACTTCATAGCTGCAGCCCCACAGATTTCTGCAGCAGCACCCAAACCCCACTCCAGCAGCCATCTTCCCGAGGAGCCCACCAGAACACGTACTCAGGTAATTCTGCAGTTTATGAGGAAGAAAACGGAGGAAAGCAGCAGATAAAACCTGCGGACCGTCACTCTAGAGTTCACCTAAAACCACAGGAACATCCCCAGTTGCCGGATCTGCTTTTCCTTAAGCACGGGGTACCGCGCCGAGGCGAGGCCGGGGCAGCGTCGCCGCG